TCCTGTGCCCTCCTCTCCTGTCATCTGTAGTCGTGATCAGAAAAAGATATCCACACTGCACTGTCAGAATCTCCGTTCACTGTGTTGTGTGTTAAATTATCGTAGCTCTTTGTTTCATGAAATAAACTGTGAATTTTTTTTTTGTGGGGGGCGGGGTTGTGCAGGCTGTGTAAAAATTTGTAAGTGGAGAAGTTTGATCCTGAAGTAGCTTCTCTGAAGTAGGCTTGCTAGGGGATTGACAGCCGCTCTAGATATGTCTCATAGGACAGGAAGGAGTGAGGGAAAGGTGGGCCATGATTTGCCACTTTGTGGTTTTGGTTCTTTCCATTCTCTACCATTCACTGGAAATTTCCTTCCAGACCTGCCTGGGGAAACAACTGAGCTGTGCTTGGTTTAGAGGGAGGAGGCAGTTCTTGAAGTGGATGGACTACCAGGCTTTCATGAGGGCCACTGAAAGACTCTCAAGTTGAATGGAAACTAGAAATTCAACCATCAGGCCCACTGCTTGTAGCATCTGATACTAGATTGTTAACATCAGGAAAGCAGTCATTGTACAGTCAAGACTGTTGTGAAGTGAGACTCTTGCCTGGTAGTGGGGAGAGGGTTACTTTGTCAGCCCTTGGGGACTCTCCTGGAGCCTGTACTGAGACCTTTTCTTCAGAGCATGTGAAGTGGCAGTTACAAGGCAATCTTCTCTCTCAGAAACTCCTTGTCTTTGTATGGGGTGGGGTTTAGCTTGGACCTCCCCAGGAAGCCTCTCTGAGGGGGGCCATCACTTTGTAGATAGCTAGAAAACCAGTAACCTTTCCTAGCCCTGTTAAGTTGGAAAAAAAATATATGGAAACTTAAAATTTGAATTCAAAGCCTCATTTGCTGCTTCTACTGGAGCAAACCAAACCAATTCTAATAGCAAAATAGTTGTCACTGCTACAAAAGCATCCAAGTTTTTAAATGTCTACTTCCCCCTGAAGTTACTGTTTGAGGTGATTTAAATCACCTCTTCTGAACAACTACCAAATCTATATCTTTGGCATTGATGAAAATAATTATTGTATTCTTCACATCCTCTACCCCACACCACGGTCAGGGCATGAAATGCATCAGCGATCCTTTCCCAGACTTGGCAGCATCTCCTCACTGGAGCTGGACTCCCTGGTCGCTTCGTGAGAACACAATGGCAGGAAGTCTGGTCCTGGCAGTTCCCCCTGTGGAGAGGCATCAGGAGAGCACTAAACGTGGACGGATTTTGCCCTCAGCTCCTCGGGTACTCCTAAGGCTTTTTGGGAGAATATTGACATCTTGAAGTTTGTCAACCAGGAGGTCAGAATGGCCCAGTATCCTAACCTGAGATCATGGCAGGAAAGGAGCTGCCTGCCACAAGCCCCTTTCTACTGAATAATGTCTGGGCCGTTCCATGTGAGAGACATTCCATGTCATTTAGAGCTAGGTGGCCGCTGCATGAAACTTGCACTGGCTATGGCCAGTTAGTACTCAGCAGAGCTTCCTAGGTCCAGTGCAGCAGGGCCAAAGGTCGCTGTAGAATAAATTGAAATAAGAGTAGATAATTGTTTTGTACACACACACAAAATGTAATGATGGTGCTACTTTCCTGGTATAAATAAGCACTGCCAAGGGTTGAGGGACTGGCAAATTGAGAAACCCAGATTCCTGTTTGGGAGAAAGAGACTATGTAGAAGAATTTCTTTGAGGCTCTGTTAGAGTAGGAGAAGGCAGAGCCTCGATGAAGCCTGCGGGTGGCCCTGCAGTGGTCTGGCCTGATCCAGAGGTGGAAGAGATGAGGGTGGCCATTGAGTTTCTCAGGGCTGGTGTCACCTTGTCTATAGCCTCCGTCCACACTGCCTGGAACTGGTTGGTAGAGAGCTCCAGGTGCTGGGTCTCCCTCAGTTACCTTCTGCCTCTCTCTACCTCTTCCTCTCTCATGAGAGCACTCTCTTGCTTATGAAGATTAAGAGTAATATTTCTTAAGGAAGTGGAAAGTTTATTTTAATTAGAAATCCACAGCCTAGGGAGAAATGTTTCCTGCAAACAAGTAAAAACAGCATGTTATATCTTTCTGGTCCCTTCTCTCAAGCTGCTTTCCTATGACTTCCCGAACATCAGGCTATGGAGGGTCTTTAGGTGTCACTCCCTGGAGTCAAGCAAAGTTTTGCAGACAAGAGGCCAGCCCAGGGCTAGGAGCAGAGATGAATGGTTCTGGTGCTTTAGACTTGCAGAGTAGGGACAGGGAATGGGCGGTCTCTGGGTCTGTCGTGGGTGCTGCCTGTGTGTGCATGTAGGTGAGTGTGTAGAAGATGGGTGAGTGCAGCGCACAGGAGCTCATGGAAGAGCAGCTTTCTATGTTGTGGCAAGAAGCAGGCTGACAATAGAGATCTGTCTTTATATTTTTAAGAAAGGGATATGGGGTATCAACTGAGGTCCATCATTTTTTTTTTTTTTGCCCCTCTTAATCCCCATAGATTGTCAGCTGTAAGTGAAACTCCTAGTGGAAAAGAGGGGAGCCCTGTGCTAGGAGTCCCCATAAACATGTACTGTAATTCTTTGTATATAGAAAAAAATTACTGTAAAGTAAAGTTTAACTTTACTCTTATGGCCCTTGCCCTGTGTTGTGTTTTGTTATCCGTGGGGAGCTATAGACCAACAGGAGGGAGGATGGTTTGGGATGAGAGCAGAAGCCAGCCCCCGAGCCAGTTCCCAGGTGGGGACAGTGGAACTGGGCCCTTTCTCCAAGCACCCCATAGGAGCGGAGGTTTCCTCCCAGTAGTCAGCTCTTCGGGAGTGATTGGTGTTAGTTTCAGTCCTACACAGGAAGCCTTCATCACCCATGAAGGAAGGGTATTTTGAGGAATTGGTTTTAAAGAAGGAAGCGGAACCAAAGCACTTCCGGAGTGCAAGTCTGACCATCTTGACCAAGTTTTTAGTTCTTCAGAGGCAAGTGCTAGGCACGACAGAGGACCTAGCTCTGGCCTAAGGCAGGAACGCAGAGGTAATGGGGCCAAGCCTCCATAGTGGAAAGGGCTGCCATATGCTTCCTTTTGGTTTGAACGGAAGGTATCAGCCCTATCTACAGTTAACACCTGATCATCCTTAAGAACTATTTGGATCCCCAAGGCCCAAAAATACATTTTGGGGGAAACTTGGGAGTCTGCCTCCCCTTCTGACCTTAGTCCCAAACTTCTTGCCCCTTCAGCAAAATGCCTTCCTGCCTTCCCAAAAAGTATAGGAAGATAAGCATTTCTGGAGTTATTTTTCACTCAGGATCTTCACAGTCCTGAAGTGGGTAGCAGTTACCTCACTTTACAGGTAAACTCAAGTTAAGTCTCTAAGTTAGTAGCTGATCTGGATCCCATTCTGGATCCAAAAGACCTGTGTTGCAGAACCTCTGATTTTCCTGCCATTAAAGCACATTGTAGGATGTTGATGGGAAGCTCAAGACCTGAGCCACAGGCATGACTCATGGGTGTAGATGTGACAGATGCAGTAGAACCAGCCAGTCTGAGGTAGAAGTGCTCGATCCTTTGATCTCTGGACACTATTTAAATGCCTGCCTTGCTCTTCTCAGCACCATTGAGAAGGAATTGTAAGCTTTGCAATGCCCTAACCCCAGCCTCTCACCCTATCTTTGTCCCCACTGAAGTACAGGAAAGGGCCTTCTTGTTTCTCCATTGTCTCATCTGCAACCCTGCAGTGAACTTGGTTTTCAATGGAAAATTAAGAGATGGGAGGAGCCTTAATACAGTAAGTGAGGCCAGCCAGGTGGCCTGAGACAGAACTAGGTGTCTTGACACCCAATCTACACAGCAGGGAAAGGGGCAGAGTGTGATTCACAGTGCATTGATTTTATTTACAAATCAGAAGCCACTTAAGTAAGTAATCTGCAGACACAAGTGCTGTCCAGGGCAGAAGCCTGGGGTCCAAATCAGCCCTCCTAATGCTCATCAGCCCAATGCTGCGTCCGTTCCACGGGCCAGCACAGGCATGTGCCCCCTCTGCTGCCATAGGGACCTGGGATAGTGCACATATTTGACCACCCAAGCCCAGACAAGAGCTAGGTCCAGTCCCTCGGTTGGGAGACGGGGGAGAAATTCCTTTAATTCCCCTGGGGCCAGATGATTGGTGACTCAGTGATGACAACAGCTGTAGAAGTAGGGGTTTGCCTTCTGGCCCAGGTCCACGCCCTTGTCCTCTGTCAAAGAGAGGCAGTAGCTCAGCACCATTTTGTTGGGGTATCAGGTGAGGTGAAGGGGGCCAGATGCTGAGGCCTGGAGGAAGTCTCCAGAGAGGCTAGGGAAGCACACACCTGTCATCACTTGGAAAGCAGCCACACTGACGTAATCCTCTGCCACTTTCTGGAAGAGCTCGTCTGGCAGGAAAAAGGATGATCAGTGAGGGCTCAATGCCAACAGCCCTGGAATTACCCAGTGACCTAGCCCTCTAGGCTTTTATCTGCCGCCTCTGGTGCCCCTGTTTCTTCCTGCTGTGAGGCCCAGGATAGCACTCACCCACACTCTGGCCTGTCTTGCTGGATGTTTCAAAGAGCTGAGCTTTGATATCTGCAAAGAAAAGTGACTAAAAGTCCCGTACCTGAGAATCAGGTGGACACAGACATAGGGGAAGCCTAGCAGTTCAGGGACTCTTCTGGACCCCACAGGTTCAGGGGGGCCAGAAAGCCTTCCCAGGGTATCTTGCCATGGCTGCCAATGCAGTCTTTTTACAGCGACCCACCCAAGCAGCCACTTCCCTCCCCCATCCCCAGGGAGCTGAGGAGCAGCTACTGTCTGCATAGTCCTGGACATCGTGGAAGTCCACACGTCGACGCCGCCTGTCCTCCTCCAGCAGGTCACTCTTGGTGCCACACAGGTAGATCTGACAACCCTGAAGCAGAAGACAAGGTCAGGGTCACCCCCACGGACCACCAGAGCCCCAACCCTGGTCCTCTTGTGAGGTCTGGCCACCTACCTCCTCTAGGTTTTGCAGTTCCTTCACCCAGAACTTTGCCCGCTCAAAGCTGCTGCTGTCTGTGAGGTCTTGGTATGAGACACAAAAACACAAACATGGGTCAAGGGTTGTTCTCTAAGGCCAGCCTGAACCCACCCCTTCTTGTCTGAGAAACAGACCAGAACCCCCCCTTACCATAGCAGACGATGGCAGCCTTGGCACCCCGATAGTAGATTCGGCTCATGGCCTCGTAGCGCTCAGAGCCTGCTGTGTCCTGAAGGGCAGGAGGAGGCTCAGACCTGGCCTGAGTTACTGAGCTACTCCCCAAGACTGCAAACTAACACCACGTCCTCCAGACCCCCATTTTAAAATGGGTTCTAGAGAAATGGCCTCTGTATGGCCACAAGTCAGCCAGGATAGACAAAACCTAAGCCTCCTCAGGAATGGGTTTGCCCAGGACTTCTTTCCCAGAGGACTTACCCAAATACCCAAAGTGACCGTCCGGTCTCCGACGGACATCACCTTAGCTACGAAGGCGGCCCCGATGGTCTGCAACCAGGGGGGTAAGCGATCAGGGCCATGGGTGAGGGCTAGCCCCCTCCCACCTGTGCCCGGCCCCGCGGGGCGCACTCACGTTCTGATAGGGCCCCACCAGGAAGCGGTTATGCACATATCGCTCCACCAGGCTCGTCTTGCCTACGTACTCTTTGCCCAGCATCACCACCTTGACGTCCACGCGCTGCCCGCTCATGCTCCCGGGGCCGCCTCAACCGCGTTAGGGGCCTGAGCCCGCGCGCGAGGTAAACTCGGATCTCCGCTCGGGCAGGCAGTGCCCAAGGCTGTCCCTATGACTCAAGACACCGCGTCGGGATCGAGCTCTGGCAGAGCCCCACCTGCCCCCGCTCTTCGGCCCCGGGCGCTGATCTTTACAAGAGCCCAGGGCCTGGGGCAGCCTGAGAGCGCGCGGAGCAGCGCCCTCAACGGCGCCACACGCCGCTTCCCAGTTCTCTCGCCTCCTGGATCAGGCGCCGCTCAGGCTCGGATTCGCCACCGAGCCTGGGGTCCTCTCCAACAAGGCTCGGCCTGCAGCGCTGCGAATCCCGCGGAGGAGGGGGTAGAGGGGGCGGGGCCTCTGGTCACGTGGGCGGGCGCCGGAAGTGGTAGGTACTGCGAGGCTGCGCCGGAAGTAGTGGGAGGCCCGACAACTCCTCATGGCGGCGGCTGCTGGTAGGGCGCGGTGTGGTGGTGACTGAGCAGCGAGCCTGGCGGGCGTGCGCCGAGCCCCGGCCTGGCCTCCGCGTGCCCCCCAGGCTCTGCACCCCTGATGCTGCGCGGGTGCTGAGCCCGCCCCGGCCGGGACGATGGTGAAGTATTTCCTGGGCCAGAGCGTGCTCCGGAGTTCCTGGGACCAAGTGTTCGCTGCCTTCTGGCAGCGGTATCCGAATCCCTACAGGTACGTAGCCCGAGAAAGAGCATCCCTCCCCCCTCGCTGTTTGGAGAGCGAACTGTGGGGCGAGGAAACACGAGTCCCAGGTAGGGGATCGCCGGAACTATGGTTGTCCTTAGGCAAGAGGACCCTGTCGGGGAAGCAGCCAGGCCTGCAAGGTACTAGAATGAGGCTGGGCCCCGGGCGGTGGTTTACTGGAGGTCTTAGTCTAAGGTTCTCTCATCTCGGGGTCGTGAGACCGGAAGAGGCGGCAGCACAGGAATTGGGAGGGATCCTGGGGTTATAATTCTGGGCGCTCTCCAGCGATGCAGTAAATCATGAAGTCCGGCCGTACTGGAATACCCAGGAATCCAGGTCAGCGGCGGAGCAGGAGTTGGAATTTGCCCTGGGATAGGTTTACAGGACTCTACTTCACGTCTGAGCCACAACACACACAGATCACTGCAAGTTTGGGGGAAGGCCTCAACATTCTGGGCAAGGAGGCTCCAAATGAGAACTCCAACAGACAGTCTTTCAGGGACTGGCTCTCAAGGGTCACCTTCACTCTGACACCTGCAGCAAACATGTCTTGACGGAAGACATAGTGCACCGGGAGGTGACCCCTGACCAGAAGCTCCTGTCCCGGAGACTCCTGACCAAGACCAACAGGATGCCCCGCTGGGCTGAGCGACTATTTCCTGCCAATGTTGCTCACTCAGTGTACATCCTGGAGGATTCTATTGTGGACCCACAGAACCAGACCATGACCACCTTCACCTGGAACATCAACCATGCCCGGCTGATGGTGAGACCCTTTGGTTCCCCCCATTCCAAAAAAGAGGCTAACAACCCTCCACAAGTCTAGACATAAAGGTAGAAAACAAAATCCAGGTACATGTAGCTAGGGAGCCAGTGATGCAGGGGAAGGGAGGCAGTGGTTTTCAGATATCCATCAAAGCCATAAGGGTGCCTTGGATGTGCCTTAGACAGGAGAGAATCTGGGCCTCTTACCCTGCATGGACTAGAGGAGTTACCCTCTTCTGTGTCTTATATAATGGATTTTTGCCTGAGATTTGAGGGGAAAAGGGGTTCCATATACCTTTGATCTCTTGCCTTTAAAACTTGAACACTCATGGTTTAAGGAGCGTTCTACAGTATCTCCTCAAAATATGAAGCTTTCTAAGAACTTTCATTCTTAGCTAATATTCACAATAACCCTGGGAAGAGGAGGATATTACTCTCTTGTACAAAGAGGAAAGGGAGATTCAAAGAGGGGAAGTGTCCTCCAAGGTCACAGAGTAAGCAAGCAACTTAATTCATTGCCTCAGAGTTACCTGAAGGCCTGACAGCAGTCTACCTTGAGGACACTACCTCTGTTCTCTAAATTACCAAGATAGTGATCCTACTGCAAGAAATGTCTTTCAGTCCAGCTGCCAGACAGGTCTTTGAAGTGTTTCTCTTAGAAGTGCTGATCTACTTTCTCCTCTCTGGAAATCTAACATTTGGCCAGATTTCCATTTTTATTTGGACTGCCAGGATGCTCAAGCACTGCAACAGAGGGAAGACAGGCTACCAACACTGCACATGTCTAGACATAAAGGTAGAAAACAAAATCCTGGGCCAAGGTGGAGCTGGAAGGCTCTTTGCTGATCTCAAGAATCCATGTGGCTTCTAGTTTAAGGGGTCAAAGGAGAGGTGTTAGAAAGCAAAATGACCTTTGTTCTTGCTCTTCCTGTAACTGCAGCTTGGGATGCAGTAAGGGAAAGGAATGGATTTTCATTTTATTGGTTTCCTTCGTGAAAAGAGGAAGGGGATCAAATTTATGTGAAGTTGGCAAAATGAAAGACTGTCACACGATTGTGGTTGACCTGACTCCCGCACAGGTGGTGGAGGAACGATGTGTTTACTGTGTGAACTCTGATAACAGCGGCTGGACCGAAATCCGCCGGGAAGCCTGGGTCTCCTCTAGTTTATTTGGCGTCTCCAGAGCTGTCCAGGTGAGCGTCATGGGGGTATTGGGGCTCTGGGGCCCAGAGCATTTTACATAGAGACTGAGCTGGGAGTCAGTGGGCAGCTCAGAATCCTTCCTTTTCTCATTTTTTGCCAGGAATTTGGTCTCGCCCGGTTCAAAAGCAATGTGACCAAGACAATGAAGGGTTTTGAATACATCTTGGCCAAACTGCAAGGTGAGAGCTCTGGGCACTGCTGGGGAAAACCTCCTAGAGGCTGGGGTCAAGTCCTAGCTGTCCTGACTGGTGTGGAGCCTGGGGCTGTCACTGCTCTATTCTAAGCCTGGGACTCCATCTGTACCCTGCCTTTCCAATGGGGCCTGACCCTCAGAAAGTGAATATTTGGGGGAGTGATTAGGTGGGTCTTCTTGGCACCATATGAAGCCAGTCTCCTGCTCTTTGTTGCAGGTGAGGCCCCTTCCAAAACCCTTGTTGAGACAGCCAAGGAAGCCAAGGAGAAGGCAAAAGAGACAGCACTGGCAGCTACGGAGAAGGCCAAGGACCTTGCCAGCAAAGCAGCCACTAAGAAGCAGCAACAGCAGCAGCAGTTTGTGTAGCCAGCCCAGGCCCTGGTGCAGCAACACATCAGGCCACCTGGCTCCAATCTTTCTGCCCTCCCTCTTGTACTTTATTATTAAAAGTCAACTTCCAGCCCAATCTACTGTCTGGGTGGTGGGTGGGATGGTGTCTTATTTGGCATCTATATGCACCAGACATGTTACCCAAGTCTGGGCCAGGCCTGCTTCTTCCCCCATGGGGCAGCTGAGAACAGAGGTATAGAAAGCTGCTGGGACTTGGTTATTGTCACAGACAGCATGCAGGCACAGTGGTCATGAACGCTAGACTGTAAGCTCCACGAGGGCAGGGCCCTTGGTTTTGTTCTCTGATATGTCCCAAGTACCTGGAACGATATCTAGCACATAACAGGCACTCAATAAATATTTGTTGAATTCACTCAGCCCCAGTCCTGGAGTCAGAAAGCTTTGGTACGAATCTTGACTCCACTGTTTTCCTGGCTTTGGACCTTAGGCAAATCATATTGCTCAGCCTCAGTCCCACCTGCAAGTGAGGACAGAGGCCTCTGGGCTATGAGGATTGAAGGGCCACTGTTGGGAACAGTCAGCAGCCTTATTGGTGGCTACTGATCTCATTTCCTCTTTCCCAGTTTGCGGCTGGAAGTTCCCCCATTTTCGTGAGGCAAGACCATGGACAGGAAGTTAAGAAAGAGCCTTTTAATGAAAATACTGTACAGTATGGGGCAAAGGCCAGGGGGCCTTGTCCAGGAAGGAACATGAGGGCCCAAGAGGCTTCCTGTCCCCATGGGGACAGCGGAGCCAAGTGCTACAAAAAACTGCCTGGAAAAGCAGCTCAGGCCAAAACTGCCTGTCTGCCTGCCTTGCCTGCCTTGCCTGCCTGTGGGGCTCAGGGAGGCCAGGCTCTGCTCCCAGGAGAGATGTGGCAGCACCACAGGGCAGGGGACTGCCTGTGCCCACGCAAACGTCCTTTTAGTCCATTCCAACTGGAGGTGACTCCAAGCAGCCCCTGAGGCTTGGGGTAGGGCTCCTACCTGGCAGAGTGGGGTGGAGGGCAGGCTGCGGGCAGAGGTGTGCTTTGGGGTGTCGAGGGTCATAGCCAGGCGCCACCGTGTGAGTAACTGTGCTCCCGACCCGCACGGAAGCCTGGCAGCAGTTCGGCCTCTGCACCCCCAAACACCAGGCTCTCCACGTCCACCTCCAGTTCCTCTGCACAGGGACAGTCCAGTCAGCAGACCTGGCCCACCACTCGCCCCAGCCCTCCGCATCAGGACACTCACCTTGGTCTGAGTCAGAGCGCTCGGAGGAGAGGCCCGAGGAGTCCAGGCTGTCTGCCCTTACCCGCTCCCGCTCGCCTGCCCCTAGGGGCGCCCGGAGCTGTTCCAGCTGCTGCCGCAGGCTCTGCTGCCGGCTGCGCAGCTTCTCCTTGAGCCGCCGGGCCCGCTGCTCTTGCTCCTCCAGCTTCTGTAGATCCCAAGAGAGCAAAGGGCTGGATTCAGCTGCCTGGGGGCCCAAGCCTCATCCCAGTACCACTCAGCAGTGAACCATGGACACTTGGTGACTGCCTGCTGCAGACGGGGGCTCACCAAATTGGGGCCCCACAAGATTGCTCCTACATCCCCAGTTCCTCCTGTCCCAGGTAATTGGCCTGTGAGTTCTCTCTAGCTGGATGGGAAGAGGAAGCAGCACAATCTCAAAGACCTTTGGGCCAAGTCAGATGATATGAAGGAGTGGTGTGTGCTCGGGGTTGGGGGACAGTGTGTGGCACATCGGCAAGTGTGTACTCCAGCTGAAAGAGGTGGCCACCTCTAGGTTCCAGCCCATTACTGCCACATGGAAATAGGCCCAGTGCTGCCAGATCTCCCAGTTTCTTTAATGAAGCTAGAAAGTCAGATTTTCCATGTCAAATGTCCTTTTAAGTGCTGCCAACTAATTTAAACGTTTAGAAAACTACAGACTAAACAAAAGCGTACCAGCTTGTAACTCCTGGTCGACCCTCCCAGAATCTCGATAGCTTTAGCACTACTCTGCTCCCCACACCCCACCAGAGGTCTTCCAGTCCCCACTCAGTACCAGGGACTGGAAGCTGAGGGTTCTCCCATTAGAGCCCTCAGTGAGCAGGAGCCTGTGTTCAGTCAACAAGAAGGGGAGCAAGTATGGGGCTAAGGGGCATTGGGACTGGATGTAGGATGAGTAATTGCTGCCTGGGTGGACATGGGTGAGAAGTGCCCCGGCAGAGGGGGACCGGTAAGAGCACAAAGAGTTCAGCTTTTTGGTGGGGAGTGAGGAAGAGATGATAGCAAAAAATCAGGCCAGTGGCAAGGCCTGAGTTATAAAGGGCCTGGAGTTGACAGGAGGTGAGGACTGAGACTGTCCTGTCAGGAGCCATGGACTGTTTTTGGCAGGAGATGGGCCTGGGCAGATCTATGTGATAAAAAGAACATCCTACGGCAAGGCAAAGGACAGCCTAGTGGAAGCAAAACAGGAAGCAGAGAGTCCAGGAGAGGTGATGGGGCTTCAAAGAAGGAGTGATACGCAGGTCCTACCCACCAGCCAGTCAGTACCTGAGGGGCATACCATCCCTCCAAGAACCAGGCCAGGCAAGCTCCATGTGAGAAACAGGCCTGCTATCCGGCGAGGGTGTTATCCAGCCACCCTGAGGGGAACATAGGTACTTATGGGACAGTGCAGTTTTCACACTGTGATTTATTTGCCACATGGCACATCTATCTGTCTCTGTCACAACCACCTGGGCCTGGATTCTGAATCTGCCTCTCATGAGCCCAGCTGTGCCTCCACTTCTTCCTCTGTCAAAAGGGCCAAAACAAACAAACAAAAAAAACCAAAAAACAAAAAACCACTAAAGAAAAAGGGCCCAGGAGGGCAGGAAAGGTCTCCATTATTTCCAAGTTGGATTATAATTCCCATTCTCTGGCTGCCTGGGATTTTGAGTCAGCGTACTCTGCTCATGTCCACCAGGGGGCAGCAGCAGGGCCCTGGACAAGGAGATGACTACTGCCTTCTCAGTCCTTTCCCCTTCCTGGCCTCTGGAGCTGCCTCCCAAAGTAGCTTCAGGACAGGACTTGAAGGATGGGGAAGAGAAAGAGCAAGGACCAGCCCTCTGCAGCCTAAGGGGCCCTTCCACATGACCCATCACGGAAACTCCCAACGGCCACACCACCCATACAAAAGAAAGAAAGTCCAGAGAGGCTAAGTGCCTGGCCTCACAGTTGGGATGGAAATAATAATAGCTATAATAACAACAGTGAACGTTTATTGGGCAAACGTTGAAGCGTAAGCCTCAGAACCATCCTCTGAGTTAGTTTTTGCTTTTCTTCCCATTTAAGAAAGTTGGAAACTAAAAGCATAGAAAACTGTTCCCCCTCACACTGTGAAGCTCTAACCAAGGCCTCTCTCCCCGGTTCTACCCAACAGCTCCCTACTACACCTGTTCACCTGTCCTGGCAAGCCAACTCTAGGGTGCAGGGGTAGCCTCTTACTTGGATGTGCATCCTGGCCCGGCGCAGGAGACTCAGTGTAGTGTATCGGGCACAGTCAGCTCCCAGGGGCATCTGCTGCTTCAGCTGCTCCAGGCACCGCTTCAGCTGGGCCCTCCTGCAGGGAAAGGGGTCTGGAGGGCAGTGCCAGCTGTCTTGCTGGCCAGAGGGCCGGCAGGGAAGGCAAGGCCACAGGGAGGTGGTTCCTGGGATCTGCTGCTGTCAAGGCAGGGCTGGGACTCACCTGCGCTTCTCCAGCTCATTGTGCACAGACCTGTCAATGCCAGGTAAGACAGGATGAGGGGATGTCAGCTGCTGCCCACACCCTCAGTCCCAGGCTCCCAGGGGCTCAAAACCCACTACTGACGTCTGCCTCAAACTAGCTCCAGGTGGGACCCTGTGCTGGCCTTGGGTACCTGAATTGCCAGGTGGAGGCAGAGACACACAGGAGGCCAAATGCTGAGAGGCCTGCTAAGGTGGCTGTGGGGTCCAAACGAAGGCCCCTACAATCAGTCAAGAAGGGCTTCCTGGGCAAGGGTGACAGCTGAGCTGAGCCAGAAACACAAGTTACCCAAAGCGGGTAGTGAAAGGAGAGGCACTCACATTGGAGGGAATGGCAAGTGCAAAGGGTTGAGACGAGGAGAGAAAAGGAGCAAGCCTGAGGTAGAAAAGGAGTGGTTTGATAGGTGGAGTGTAGGAGTGAGAGTGGGAACGGGACTGAGAACTGCCTTGTTCACAGTTCCTGGCACATTGGGGGTGCTCAAGAAATAGCCCTTGAATGAATAAAAGGGTGTGTGTTTGGAGGGTGGGGAGATGGCAGGAGGGGCCTGAATGTCTCCAGAGTAGGGAACCTGGCCCAGAAGACGCAAGCAACAAGGGGAAACTGGCCTAAGAAGGAGCCCGAAAAGGGACTGCGCCCATCCCCCTCCCCCTCCCCGTTCTCCCCGGCCCTCCTCACCGTCCACTGTCCGGCGTGCCAGAAGCTTGTGGGGATCGCTTCCTTCTCCTGTGGACGGAGCCCGGACTGCGGTGCGGGCACAGAGACGCGTAGCCATGCTCAGCCTCTGCCAGAAAGAGCCCCCGCCCGCGTCAGGCTGGGGCTGGTCGCAGCGGGCGCCCCTGGCACGGCACAGTCAGGGAGGAGCTTTTGGCGCCAGGGCCATTTCCCCAACCCCTCCCAGCCCGACCGCCCGCGGACCCCTCTCGAGTTGAAGGTGGGGGTTCCCCAGGGCTATTGCCCCAAGGCCATGCATGCATCCTTCAAGTTGAGAGCCAAGTCCAGCCCGGGCCCGTGTCAGCGAGATTGCCGCCTGGAATCCGGCCAAGGGTTGTGCCTCACCTCTCTCCCGGCGTTCCAGGAACTCGGCTGCCTGCAGCAGGACCTGGATGTTGCTGGCCACGGGTTCCATATCGACGACAGCTGGTGGCGGGTGGGCCTGGGGGTGCGGGCCGGAGGAGCCGCTACACCACTTTTGTTACAATGTAACTGAAAC